CAGATATCAAAGAGAACAACAACGACCAAACTTTTAGAAGACATCTAAAGGCAGCCCTGTTTAGGGAAGCTTTTAATGTTTAATAGGTTATTGTATTTTAGTGTTTTGTTGGAAGCCGCCCAGAGTGGCTGGGGAAACCCAGCCGGATGGGCGGGGTATAAATAAATTATTATTATTATTATTATTATTATTATTATTATTATTATTATTATTCAGTCTTAGTCATCAGTGATGGGACACCATCCTCTGCCACATCTAATGGCCACAGGCAGGCATTCGGAGTGCAGGACTGGCCACATGTTCTCCCATATTTTGCTTTTCTGCCCCCCCCCCCAGCCTCTACCAACTGAGGCAATCACCTCACTCTGCCTAACAGTGATGCCAGCCCTGGTATAAACTGGTATAAAGCCTTCCTTTCCTTTCCTTCTTTTCCCTACGGGACCGCCTCTCCTGGTAGGTGCCACAGAGGACCTTACGGTCTTCAAACAAAAACATTTTGGAGGTCCCGGGCCACAGGGAGGTTAGGCTGGCCTCAACCAGAGCCACGGCTCTTTCGGCTGTGGCCCCGATCTGGTGAAACACTCTGTCACAAGAGACTAGGGCCCTGCGGGACTTGACATCTTTCCGCAGGACCTGCAAGACAGGCCAAGGCACAGTCCTTTGGTAATCCTCACAGAACTCTAGCCCAATGGTTGCCATTAATTTGATTTTGAATTGATTTTAGAATGAATTGATTTTAGAATGCTGTGTTACTTTTATTGTTGTTAGCCGCTCTGAGCCCGGCTTCGGCTGGGGAGGGCGGGATACAAATTATTATTTATTTATTTATTTATTTATTTATTTATTTATTTATTATTTTTATTAGTGAGCCAATTGTTTTATCTACCATACTTTCCCGTATATTAGATGAGGGTTTTTTACTCCAAAAGAAAGTAAAAAATGGGGGGGGGGGTCATCTTATACATGGGTAGTGCAGGGGGGGGGATGGGCGATTGGTTGCATCCATGAGCAGGATCTAGTGATTGGGTGGGTGAATGGTGTCTGCTGCATGGGCTGCTTTGGACTGGCTGCTGCTTTGTCAATTTGGCTTGCGTCGCTTGCGATTGTGAGCGTTTGCCAGTTGGGTGACTGATATTCGGTTTGGCATTCAGCCCCCCGAAAAAAGCTCAACAACTCTGGTCAATTCCCTCAACAACTCTGTGCCATCTCCCCCCATTTTCTTGAATTTGAGCCCCCCCCCCAAAAGGAAGCGTCTTATACACGGAAGCGTCTTATAGACGGGAAAGTACCGCACTTATATACAGGGCTTTTTTTCAGCTGGAACTTGGCAGAATGCAGTTCTGGCACCTCTCAGGTAGGCACCATTGCCATTCTAGGAGAACAAGAGGGGTGTTCACAGTGAGTTCTGACACCTTTTTCTAGAAAAACAGCACTGAATACACACAGAGAGAGAGAGACGGGTGTGATGTTGCTTCTCTAGTTTTGAGAAGGCAACAGACATTTAAGCGCTTGCGCTCGTCGAATAGATCAGGTCCAGAAAAAGAGAGTAAGTTCTAGCATAATGGCAACAAAGAGTCACTTCTGGAAAAATCAAATGGTTGCAAGTTCCCTCAGTTCAAATTGCATGCAGATTCCCAATTTTTGCTTTGGTCCCCACCCCTGCACTCCCAATCACTTTAATGATTCACATTTCATTTCCCCCATCTAGAGACTTTCAGCCGTATAAACAGTTTTACCTGTCTTTCCTAACTCTCCTTCTGTTTCCTCAGGTCACAACAGATTTGACTTCTAGAGAAATGCTTCTAGAGAAATGCTTTTCAGAGGTAAGTGATACATGGAATGATCTTTTGTACAATGTTGTTCTTTTCCATTAAAGTACAGTGGTACCTCGGGTTACATACGCTTCAGGTTACAGACTCCGCTAACCCAGAAATAGTACCTCGGGTTAAGAACTTTGCTTCAGGATGAGAACAGAAATCGTGCTCTGGCGGCGCGGCAGCAGCAGGAGGCCCCATTAGCTAAAGTGGTGCTTCAGGTTAAGAACAGTTTCAGGTTAAGAACAGACCTCCGGAACGAATTAAGTACATAACCAGAGGTACCACTGTACTGAATCCACCAGATCATCACTTACACCCAGTGCTGTTTTTCTCAAAAGAGAGGTGCCAGAGCTCACCATTCATTTATTGAATTTATATACCGCCCTATACCTGGAGGTCTCAGGGCAGTTCACAAAGAAGATTACAGTATATAACAACAAAATAAAAACAATAATCCAATAACACCCCCCGAAAAAGAGCCACCTTTTAAAGGGTATAGGATGTTGACAGTGCTGGATTTACGTATAAGCTAAACAAGCTATAGCTTAGGGCCCCACTCTCTTGTGGACCCTCAAAAAATTTAAAGGAAAAAACAACTGGATGTACATTTCCAAAATATAAGATAAAAAAATAAAAAATAAAACCTACATACAGTAACAGTGTTTTGGGTTGTGTAGGCTCCTATGATGTAAGTAATGGGCCCCACCTGCTAGCCTGCTCCCTAAAATATCACTGGTTTGCTATTATTATTTCATGTTATAGCAAGTTTCTAGAGACTAGATTATGAGCCTTTGTAAATTGTGTTTCTAAAGGAACTTTTGTTATTGCCAAATGCCAATGTGTTTGCATTATTAAATTTGTTATGAATAAAAAAATCATTTTAAGTTAGAGCTTAAATTTTTTTTCACTATTAATATACTTCTTATTTGTTTTTCACTATTAATATACTTCTTAACTGTATTTCAGTTCAACAATTACTTTGATAAAATACATATGTGCAAATGGCTTTAGATACCTATTAGGTCCATAAATTACCATATACCATATATTCAACACAAAAAAATAGCTACAATTTGTTGTTGACAAAGGACAGCTGGACATATAAAGGGCCCCATTACCTTCAGTAGCTTAGGGCGTCATCAAACCTAAATCTAGCCCTGGTTGTTGATCAGGTCAAGGGAAGGCCTGGTTGAAAAGGAACATTTTTGCCTGGCGCCTAAAGGTGTACCGTGAACTCTTCCCTTGTTATCGGAGCTGTGGACAAATCATTATCTAGTTCTGTATTGACTGGCAACAGCTCTCCACGGCAGGCTTCCTCAACCTCGGCCCTCCAGATATTTTGAGACTACAATTCCCATCACCCCTACCACTGGTCCTGCTAGCTAGGGATCATGGGAGTTGTAGGCCAAAAACATCTGGAGGGCAGAGTTTGAGGAAGCCTGCTCCAGGGTTTCAGGCAGGGTTCTCTCCCAACTTTACCTGGAGATGCTGAGAACTCAACCTGGGACTCCTTGCAGGCAAGGCAGATGCTCCAACACTGAGCTATGGCCCTTTCTATCAAAATTCTCCAACCTATTTGTGAGTGGAGAAATTGGGGGTGCCATTTCACTGAACTACTCCAGGGGAAGGAGAAACTCTCCAGCACTTTCTCAAAGATGGAGGCTCACCATTAGCAGTGCCAGTTATTGCTGTTTTTTTTCTAAAAAAACCTAACATTTGTTTTCGCTGCCACTTCAGTGAAGGAGAGAATCAGCAACCGCGTTGGCAGCCTGGCAGCTATTTTACTTCCTCCACAAACTCCCCAAACCTTGCATCATTTTGGGGGTATCGTTTGCGTGAAATGGTCACCACCACAAAACATGGTGGAGAATATTCTGCCCAGTGACCACCTTTTTTCTGGAGTGGGGAGGGGGGAGAGGGAGAAAACTTTATCTCCATAAAAAGACCTCTGAGAAATGTTGAATCAGATCTACTTGCAACTCAGGGAGGGGGACCTCCAACTTTTGTGGGCTCCCCCCAGCCCCCAGCAAGCTATTAATTTCTTTAACAAATTTTATATTTTGCTTGATTGTAATAAAACCTCTAAGCACCTTACAAAACTATTAACAAAACAAATGACCTATGAATGATGGGAGTGGGAGGGCTACACATTTCTCCTCCCTGCCGTAATCAATAAAACACATTGATAAATTGTATGTTAAATGGTTATTCACTGCTGAATGTATAAAGCACATTCAGAGACCCTTGTGCACGTTAATGTATTGTGCAATACGATAAGCTGCAATCCCATGCCTGGAAAAATGGCAGTAAGGATGGAAAGATCTGCCCATTTTGGTTCACTAGGTTTCTCATTTTTCCAATTTTAAATTCAGTTCTTCGCATGTTGCAGCCCTTTGTGATTATATATATATGTATATATATATATGATAAAAATTCATCAGCCTTTTAGTGTGAATTTTCCATATTAAACACACTTTTTTATGCAGTTTTGACCAATGTATCCATTTTTGGCAAGCAACCTTCCTTAATAGAATGACTCTTGTAGGTTATTTTCACTAATATATTCATCTGTTATGCATACCTTCCTTTGATATATGCATTTTTGTAAACGTTGGCTGGGAAACTGCATTGCAAATTCGGATAAGAGCGAATTTTGAAGGATAGCTGTGTTTTGGTTCATAAATAGTTTCGGAAAGTGTGGATTTGATGGGTTCGGCTTGAAATGCGTTTTCAATCAAATTTCTCCTGCATCCCTAACTTGGGAGTAAACCCCATTGAAGGCAATGTGATTAACATCTGGCTAGGCATGCATAAAATTTTGCTGTATATTGTCATCCTGCATCTAAGCAGCATCCAAACCCTGGCCATCCTGGGATCTCTGAGAAGCTAAGGGCATCGAGGAATTGGGCATCATCTTCTGCTTCTCATCCCAATGCCCACAGTTCATAGGTGTGCTGCCTCTGAACATGAAAGTCTTATCTGGGTACCATGTTCCTCTTAGACCATGAATCCATTTAACTCATGGTCATCCATTGCTACCTCTTAAAGGAATTAACGACACGTGTTGAGTGTGCACTGTGTGATTATGAGTGGGTAGATAAGGACATAGAAAGCTGCCTTATACTATGCCAGGCAGTGGATCTCTCTAGCTCCATCATTGCCTACACCAGCTGGCAAAAGATCTGCCTATGTGGTCCAGCTGAAGATTGAAGCTGGGACCTCTTGCATGCAACACAAATGCCCTACCACTGAGCTAATCGCTCCCTCTTCTCCAAATGAAAGGAACATAAGAAAGTGCCTTATACTCAGACCATTCGTCCACCTGGTTCAATATTCTCTATACAGGCTGGCAAGGTTTCTCGGGGGTTTCTAGATTACTTTCTCCACCTTGCCTGGAGATGCCAGGGATTCAATCTGACACCATCTGCAAGCAAGGCTGCAGCTCTAACCACAGGTGCATTGCAACTAAACTTGTGGTTCCACAGGACTATACAAAATGTCACCAGATTCTGTGGAATCAACTCAGTAAATCTGGACTAGGGGAAATTAACATATTCCTTTGCAACAGATGAGGAGAAGGTCCATTGAGATTCAGATTATCACCCTTTCTACTTTCTCATTGTTACTTTCACTGTTGCAGTGGAATAACTTTAATGTCTGACTTTTTCTTTTTCTGCAGTTTAATGGGTTTTGTCAGACCGGGCTATATACAAAGTCCCATTTGAAAGGGAAACCTTTTCTTATTTCTCCGTCACAGGAGAAAAGCTATTAAAAACTTCCTTATAACCACTTAATTAAAAAAAGGAAACTGGTTATACACACAGTATATGAGAAGAAATAGCTATAAGCCCTTGATGGTGTAGTTTCTCACTACAATTACTTCTTGAGAGAATCCATCTGCAATCGTGTGAATATTTACTTTGGAATAAGCTTTGCAGAAAACAGAGGCATTTGTATTCCAATAAACAGACACAGACTCAGGCTGTAAAGCTCATGAGAAGTTTTAAATAGCATTCCCTTCACAAAAATAGATTCGAAAGACTAACGTTATTGTTATATTTAATGCTCCTTGCTGAATTTTGGCAGCAAAAACAAATACATTTGTGTAACAGGAATAAATACAGATCATTCACTTTCATTGTGTTGAGACTTTAACAGTGTGATTTTCTCTATACATTTTTAAAAAAATGGCTATGTGTGGTTTTAAAAGATGAACATATTTCAAGCAGTAAGATGTTCTTTTTTAAAAAAGAAATCCTCATGTTGGTCTCTTTAATGATGTAATGATGAATTAATATCATGAATTCATAATAAAATAATTCAAAATGGGTTCTATAGTTTCAGAGTTAGAGACACACAGACACACACCCCAAATCATTGAGGCTGAGATATTGTGGCAGGCCTACTTTTAGAATCCAAACTCTTATCTTCTCTGCAACTCCCGCTTCATTGAAAAGAAACAGATTCTTTGCTCCATTACAAACTTTACATCCCACCATGACCCACTCTCTGTCAAAACACTGGTAATGCCATTTCTGAACATCTGCTTCAGTACACAAACATGCATTTGCTTGAAGTATCCTTTGCATGAAAGCTTATAACAAAATTCACCTGCAACACACACCCTCAGGTAGAACAAACTGGAAACTGATCACAGGCACTGTAGTCAAATACAGAATCTCATTCTCCATCAAAGGAGCCATTCCCGGATATTGACAAATGGAACTCAGCGATTGCCTGTTTTTCAGTGGGAAAGTCCTTGTACAGTCTCGGAGCTTCAGTGCCAATCCGTACACACAGTTTTGTCTCACAGTCAACGGCTTTTGCTATTTGCAAAATGCAGCGTACAGGTGAGCAGAGCTAGCAGGCTACAAAGCAACCCTTTTCTCTAGGAAACAACTGGGGGAAAATAAGAGTTACCAACCTCTCAGAACTTGTTCAGTCCAGGAGTACCAAGCAGCGAGCTCTTCCCTGCGACGCGTCGACGCGATACAGAATCTTTGAGCATCCTTGCATAGCGGTGAAATTCCTCCAGCTGATCCAAGAAACCCCAGAGGACCAATGAGAGATTCCCCTTCTCCTCTTGACACCAGCCCACGTCTGGAAGCTGCCTCCCCACTCCCTTTGTTGCCACAAAGCAGCCAGGTTTTCCCAGTTGCTAACTAATTGCAGGAAACCGTCTCTGCTGCAATATCAGAATCGCTTGCTGCATTGGGCTCGCGGTGGATCGAGCAGGGCTGATCTTCCGAGCGACACCTGCTTGTGTCAAGCCAGAGGGGCTCTCCCTCCTCCTCCTCCTCTTCTCTTCGGCACAATTCACCTCCTGGGGGGCTGCGTGTTCCTGATCATCACATCCACGCCACTGTCCAGGGCTTTGCTGTCTGCAGTCCCTTGCTTGCCCTAGCCAGAGGCTGTGCAAACAGCCCATTGAGGGGAAAGGAGCTAGATGCACAGCACTGAGGACCAGATAAGAAAGATGGGGAGATTTTTTAGTTTTGCATCAGCCCAATGGCATCACCGTGGTACCATTTGAAAAAGACCCTTTGCCTGCTTTATACCTTTATCCCTCTCCCCCACCCCCTTATAATTTGCATGCAGAGCCAGAAAGCCCAATTTTCCAGCACTTCCCCCCCCCCCACATCATAACAAGCAATAGAGAGCAAAGGAGGAGGGTTAAGTCTTGTAATGCATTGTATTTTGAGTGAAGAGGAGGAATTAGAAGTTATTTCTTTGTCCAGGCTTGTGCAGTGAACGAGTACAGGAGTGGAAGGGTCAGCAGGAGAAAGCACATCAGAGAAAATCGAAATTGAAATCCAGGGACCAGATTACCATTTTGCGCTCTTTAATACATGTTTGAAAGCTGGCGACTTGTCCCTTGAAGCAGCAGCGGCAGGTCCCTGATCCAGAGCCTGCTTTTAACAGCCGCTGTGAATCATGTAGCATCTATTGTGGATTTACACTGCAATTCTATGCATATGTTTTTTTTCTTGTAAGTCCCTCTGTGTTCATTCCTAGTAAGCATGTTTAGGATTGCAGCTTTATTGTCCAAGGGCCGCTCCAGGCTGGTGTCTTGTGCAACGTGTCACGGACACAATCATGGTGCATTCATGCCGGAGTTAAATGGGAATATTCGCACATTATTTCGCTTTATTTGTTGGCTCTGTATGCTTCCCCAATGTTGCCGCAACATTGCCACCATTGCCATCTGGAAGGGCAGTCTTGTACTATATTGCAAAAAACCAGCAACCCAGTACAAAATTGTGGCATAATAATAATAATAATAATAATAATAATTTATTATTTGTACCCCGCCCATCTGGCTGGGTTTCCCCAGCCACTCTGGGCGGCTTCCATAGAAACAAAAAATACAGTAAAATATCACAGATTAAAAGCTTCCCTGAACAGGGCTGCCTTAAGATGCCCTCTAAATGTCAGGTAGTTATTTATTGCTTTGACATCTGATGGGAGGGCATTCCACAGGGCGGGCGCCACTACCGTAAAAAGTTACAGGATTTCAGCAGGATGTTATGGAACATGCACTGATCGAAAACCCAGCAGTGTGTCCACCCCAAAACTTTTGCAGGAACAAACTGCAATAGTGTGATGACTTATAACTGTCCAGATACCATCATGAGCACAAATATTCATGGATGCACAGTAGAAAGGATACCTAGAAGGTCCCTAGCTTGAATAATAAACTCTGTTTTGTCCTCCCCACTTCCTTGAGTGGGGAGAAGATCCAGAACCACCTTTTGGCATCCTTTCCCAAGGAGAGATCACAAGATGAACTCAGTACATTGCAAAGCAGAGCATATAGGGGCAAGCAGTATAGCAGATCTAAGATACAGAGGAAAGAATCTGCCCCTGGCTAGGTGCCTTCAGCTCAAAACTTCTCTGGCGCACTCTGTTTCAAAAGTTGGGTTGCTACCAGACGTTCAGCATTTTGCAGGAGGGATTTAAGCACATCCCAGAAAAGTTGGCTTATACAATTAAAGGGAATCGAAGAGCTATGTTACCCGGGTGCAACAAATCCACTTTAGAAAAGAAACGTGCTTTCTGCGGCTGAGAATGTGACAGGGAAATGCACTGTAAATGGTGGAATGAATGAAGAACAGAAAAGCATATAAAGCACACATACACATAAACAGCCAAGCAGGGAAGGGCTGACAGTGCATCTGCCTCACATACAGAAGCTCTTAGGTTCAATCCCCTGCGAATGCCCCCCTTCTGAAATGCTGGAGAGTCGCTGCCAGTCAGTGTACACAATACTGATCTAGATGAACCTATCCCAGCCCACTATATACCGTAGTATGGCTCAGCATAACGTTATTGCCCAAAACCCCAAAACACAGCAAATTTGCATAAAAGTGGCATGTGCTAATTGATATGAATAGATGCACATTTTGCAATAATTACTGTAATTTAAGTAAAAATGCAAAAGCTGTCACCACGGTGGGGAAGAGTGATTAGGTGACCTGGGTCCAGGTGTTGCCAGCTGTTAATGGGCCATGCTAATTACTCTGATGTCCTTTCTTATGGTTCTTGATCTTTAAACCAGACTTAGACTGGGGACAACGCCTCCTCCTCAGAAGAAGAGTTTGGATTTGATATCCTGCTTTATCACTACCCGAAGGAGTCTCAGAGCGGCTAACATTCTCCTTTCCCTTCCTCCCTCACAACAAACACTCTGTGAGGTGAGTGAAGCTGAGAGACTTCAAAGAAGTGTGACTAGCCCAAGGTCACCCAGCCGCTGCATGTGGAGGAGCAGGGAAGCGAACCCAGTGCACCAGATTACGAGTCTTCCGCTCTTAACCACTACACCACACTGGCTCATGTCAAGAAGTGCATGGATGGGCAACCGAGGGCCAAATGGGACTTTCTGTTTGGCCCATGGACTCTCCCCAGAGTATGCCTCTCACCAGACCTGCTTTGCCCCCTCGTTGAGTATTTTTGACCGGCGGGAACATGTCCTTGAGCTCTGATGATGCTTCTTGCCTGCGTTGATGGAGAAAGATGTGTGGGGTATAAAGATGCTAGCCTAACGAACGAAGGTAAGATCAACACCTGTGGCTTCACCTCGTTTACCTCCAGCCCTGCTCACAAATGGCACATTGCCCCCAGGACGTTGCCCAGAATGCAGCCCTCGGGTTCTCCACAGAGCTGTCCTCTGTCAAGTAGGACTCACAGCTACCTTATTGGTGGCACAGAGATCTTTCTTGCCTGGGAAAAGCAACAGAGAAGCCTCAGACTGCCAGAACGCG